ACCGGAGTCAATACAGTTCGCATCCGACAGTTAGGATTAGCTCATGGAAGAATCGTAAATCAAAATGAAGCTTGGCAGAGAGAGCTAACTGCAACTCAAACTGAAGTCAGGGAACTTAGAGCACGCCAGGCAAGGTATGAAATGCGTATGCTCGAGATGGAACGTCAGTAGGCAAGTCAAAAGGCTCAGCAGAACAGTTCCCGCCGTAAGTAGAGGATACTCTACTCGCTCCTTCTTTTGGTTTGTGGAATAATCTTCGTGCGTACTCAAAGTAGTACTCTTTTCGTGTAAATATTCCCGTCTAGCAATTTCTGTTTCACTAAGACCTCTATGTTGTCAAATTTTCCTTCTATGGTATGTTGTAGACCTACGCCAAGGTCAAGTTTTCCGAATTCTATGTAACTTTTATACCAACTATTATGACAGACTTCTTGTTTCTTTTAAAGATCATCATTATCAACCCATGCTTTGGGCTGTGTAAACAGTTCGTGTCATAAACTGTTATAGCAATTCACTACACTGTCCCTGTCGATCTAATCTATTGTAGTTCAATGTTATTGAACTCAACAACTCTGGCGAAGTCTTGCCACCATTTTATCTGTAACCCTATAGCTGGAATTGCCTTCTCGCTATTCAAACAGACTCAATCCTGCAATAAATTCAACTTTTCTAACACATACACCCTTTAGAGAAAGAGACAGTTACCATAGAATAACAAACCTTTACAACTTCAACTAAGGGCAATCCAAACAATGACGGAGATTAAACATGCCTGAGGAAAAGCAAGGACACCGTAAATATAGATACCAGGCTATAACAAATCAGTACCACTGAGGATAGGACAGAGAACAGAGGAAACCACTCGTGAAGCGTGCGAGGTGGTAGAGAACCTGATTCGTCGCACTAATAAGTAATAATTATTATTACCTAATGAGTTGGTAACTATATTACTCACGCTATGAGATAGGTACATCACATCCTTCTTCATAACTCGAGATAGTAAGAAAGATACCCTCTCCCAAAACCCATGAAACTAGATCGACTTAAGATTTCAACATCCCTACCCTAAATTGCTAAAACTAAACTTAAATACGATACCTATTTCAACCCTCAATCACAAATACATCATAAAGAATGTAAGTCGAAACGTTAGAAACCGAATAACAAAATAAGGAAATTATACTTATAGAATCCAACTAACAACGATCATAGTTATCTAACCAACTCGTTTCGCATCATGTAACAGAATCATGTCTTCACATGGAAATAACCGACCAACCAACGAAACACCACTCCTGCTTATTGACTCAGCTACTTTTCAAGCTGCGGTCACAGCCGCCGTGACAGTCATCATGGCACATCTCAACGCAAGAAACACTAGTAAAACTGGGAAGGATGTCAAAAATTCAAATGTTTGTGACAACCAAGGAAATCAACGAATGTCTACCCACAAGGATACTCCAAACCACAAATCTAGTAACACGAAACGAAGGTTCGGGAATGAAAAAGGGGGCAGTTCAAAACAAGGGTCTACCAAAAGACAACAGATAGTGACAGCTCACGCTGTTACTGTTACTACCACCCCCACACCCACAAGGCCATACAACGACAACCAGCCTAAGTGCAACCGATGCAACTTTCATCATCACGGACCCTGCCGTGAAATGCATTGCACTAGGTGCAACAGTAAGGGACACACCGTCCGCTACTGCAGGGAACCAACCCAACCGACCGCTCCAGCCACAAATCTCGTAGTAGACCGTACTTGTTATGAGTGCGGAGAAACGGGGCACTTCCGAAGGAACTGCCCAAAGGCAAACAACAAAAATACTGGGGGAAGTGGCCAAGTATTCGCAATGGACCAGGAGGAAGCCATTGCAGACCCCACGATTATTCCGGGTATGTTTTTCCCCGATAGCATATTAGCATGCATTATATTTTATAGTGAAGCAGAGAGGAGTTTCGTGAGTCACAAATTTAAAAATCTATTCAAACAAACACCCCAAATCATTAAGCTAAACCTTCGTAGTAGTAATAACACTTTTCCTGATCGACTTCACAATTGTTACGATAAGAAGTTCCCAAATAGCTACTAGAAATGGATTGGCTTGGTCTTCACCATGCCAATTGCATGTGCTATGTAAATATCCTTCGCTTTCACCGTTGGCTAACGAAACTCTATCGATTTATAACGACAAACCCGACACAACTCCCAAATCATTTCTAGTCTCAAAATCCCGTAGCACTCATGTGAGTAGTACTATATCCTTTGTAACCTTCCCGAAGTATTACCGACAGACTATTTAGGAATAGCACACGTACAACGAGTCAAGTTCAAACGCAGAGGCTAGGAATGATTACGGTTAACCTATCACTGCAAATGTGTATGCAACTTGTATACACAAGATGGTGATAAGCGGACCAGGTAAGAATTCAACCATGAACTTCAAAACGAAACGACCTGTATTACGAGTGAACAATGCTAACATTAAGATGAACATAGTCAAACAAACCCAAATCCACACGACCTCTACCGGTCGAAGCAATAGACGGAGTAATGAAGGTCCGCAGGAACACCCACGCTAGGATCCGGATTCACTAGAGAACAAGAAGATCAAATGGAACAGAAGTACACTCACCCTTCCTCGACAATTGAAGTCCCAGTCAAAATGCGAATTTCGGGACGAAATTCTCTCTAACGGGGGGATAATGTAACACCTGCAAAAATTAGGTCAAAAATAAATTTGTTCAGCAACCATAATTGGGATGAACCAAGTGGTAGATATCGTAAAGAGGTTTCCAAAAATATAAAGAACACTGAAATCCGAGTTATAACGAAGAAGTTATGACCAATCGAAGATCTGCAACAAAACCGGTAAAATACTGTTAAGCATAAAATACGAAATTTCAACAAAATACTTTTCAACCTTAGGTGTCTAAATGAAAGTTATAGATATCATCAAACCGTAAACGTACACAAAAAGAGCGCCCAAATCTGACTTCGTATGAGGAAGTTATGATTTTTTGAAGTTTCAGACATAGCAGTAGACAGCTAAAAACTCGAAATTGAGATCGAGCGACTTTTAGCCAACGTAACCTAAACGAGAATCGAAGATCTCGACAATAGTAGTATAACGGTAAAAAGACAGAAGAAAACGGACATCAGATTAAGAAGTTATGGATTTTTAACTGACTTTTCCTGTCCCGGCCAGTTAAAAATGTAATATTAAAAATAAATTCAAAATTAGCCAATGAAGTCTAAACGAGAGTTGTAGAGCATAATCTCACCTACGCGTGCATATAAAGAACGTCAAAATCGGAGCTCGTATGCGAGAGATATGAATTTCTGAAGTTCGGGACACGAAATCCAAGGCTGTCAGGCAGCCCACGACGTGAGCCAGAAGCTCACGACGTGAGAATTTGATTGATGGGTTCCTGGCCTGGCCAGCAGCCGTCGCATCCAAGGAAGAGATAAGATCAAGCTTCACGACGTGGGAGAGATTTTCACGACGTGGACTCCTTCAGGTTCACGACGTGAAGCCTGAATCATGCCTATAAATAGAACTCAAGGGTGTTCCGGGTTTAGTTGCTCACTTCTTCACTTTCTCGTGCTTTTGCTCTGTGTTTAACCCCTAGAAGCCATCCCGAAGCCCCGGTTTTCATATTCAAGTTCTGAAGGAAGTTTTAAGCTCCCGAGATTCCAGAGAATCCCGAGAAATCAGCTTCCTCCAGTCGAAGTTCTGCTCGACTTTTGTCTCACATTCTTCAAACTACCAGGTGAGTTCATACCCCAATTTCTACGCTTTTAACTGATTTTAAATGCTTTTGAACACTTTACGGGGGGGGGGGGGGGGGGGGGGGGGGGGGAATACAAGTAAACACACGGTCCATCCCGTGTGAAAACATCAATCTTTTGTTATACATTTCATGTCGTTTTTATAACTATCATCTGGATCATGTTAACATGCAAACATCTTACACCACTTTACCCTCTCGGGATGAAACATAATTTTAAATAGTATAAGTTTTACTTATATGTTTGCATCATATCAAGGGTAACCCTTTTTACTATAACATTCGTAAACACGCTAGAACATACAAATCATTATCATACATTTGTTAATATCGTTTAAAAGGATAATCATTTCAGAAACAAGTGCATTCATTTTAATACGAGACTTAATTGAGAATTCGTGAGTCATTCATCTTCAATATACCTTTTAAGGTACCGCTAGAAGTCCTGTTTATAACCATAATCTCCCGTCCGGAGAACGTGACAAGTGTGTATAAATCTATACAGGACTAATTATCCCGCGCCCTGACTGTTAGCTACAGTCCCCGGGGTGACAAGTGTTATCTTATTTCGACGCCTGAAGAACGTCGCTACAGGAAAATTATGATAGTATGGTTATAAAAACTCACTGGATAGACAATTATTATGGTATTACGTTTTCACGGGAAAAGTAACAAATACAGTTCTTTTCACATTCAAATACAAATCTTCTTATAGTTTTGTTTTATAATAAGACTATACATCATTCTTTTGAGCATGTCATAGTTGCTTACAGGTTACGGTCTTGGACATTTGAGACTGCATTTCACATTTAGGAAAATATAGGATTTTCCTGGTTCAAATACATACAATTTATACAACAAACACTCATACTCATTTCATACAGTCATAAGAAAATATCGGATTTTCTGGAAAACAAATGTGAACTTTCGAATGGCATACATTTTCTCAAAAATACTACTTATGAACTCACCAACTTTATTGTTGACACTTTTTCTTTGAAATAACTTGTATTCTCAGGAAAACGCTAAACCAGGTAGCAACTACTTTTGAAGACTAACGCGCTGGCGTTAGTAACATATTTTGGATCACCATATTGTATTTGATATTCAAACATGTAACACATACGATCATGTAAACTTTTCAAATATATTTATATTATGGTGGTGTGTACTTTCTTTACTATTCAATTGTTATGATACTGAATATGACGTCCTCCGCCCCGAACGTTTCCGCCGTTCAGGTTTGGGGGTGCGACAAATGCACATTCGATATCATTAGGAAGCAATGTGACACACTTAACGTTAGGTGGTGTGATAGTGGAGAACGCGGGTCTGGACATGATAAAATTAGGATTTCCCTTTCTCATGTGTTTGACGCTTCATCTGACACCTTGGATGTTGGGAAGCTTCCATTTCACATGTGCTTCAATCAAGAGATTGTCCTTGCAGTCGTGCCCATAAAGCCTTATCGATGTACAAGTGCATGCTCCTTGCAGTCGTGCGACACGCTGCCTAGTCTCTTGTTTCCGGATTCATCTCTCTGGTATATTAAGCTTTTACTCTCTCTCAACCTTCCTGTTGATGCTGACTTTTTTCTTAAGATGAGGGAAGCGCTCACTTTATCACAAAAGTGCGATCTTCGTATAACAACTAGGAACAATTCTAAGCTGCCATTCGACATTGACATCGAGGATCTAAGAACAAGGCTCCTCTTTCCTCCTACTACGAACGTGCAAACATTCGAGTTTCAAACAGTTGAGGATGAATGCTTGTTGGACCGATCCCCATTTTTTGATGCATTATTTAAGATTTGCCATCCCAAACACGTATATGCAAAGCGAGACATGATGGATGAATATAATAATCACTTTTGCAGCCTGAGCGAGATGACGACAGGAACCACATTTTGGTCTCATCATCTGAAAGCGCCACAAAAAATGGGAAAACCCTAACAGATTGTTCGAGAAGCTTTCTACATGGGAACATGCACTTCAAACTATACTGGTGTTAACGATCGTCTCAGCTGGTTGGGTTATTTGTTTTACTGTTTCCTGTTTTAATCTTTGTAATATCCTTATTTGTTTCAGACACATTTAGACATATACATATATTTGATGTGCCAAGCATTGCATAAAAACACACCACCACCCGATTATTTTAACTTAATCACATACAATCCTATTTTCGCTAAATATTTTACACCTAATGATACGACCCTTGCAAAAATGTGTTACAAACATATGTAAAAATATGTATGATACTTTTTATCTAACATTATCTTTAACTTAAATTGTGATGATATATTGACGAACTAAAGTTTACTACCATTTTGGATTGGAATGTAACAGTAGTTTGTGTATGGGGATAAAGCCATGAAAAGTCTCATGTTTGGCCCCAAAATGTCGGTTTTACTTTTACCCTTTGATAGTATTTTGGTTCGTTTACATAGCAAAACTTGCAATTTTTTCCGGTTATGCCCTTTTAACAGGTAGAACCGGCTACGACGTGTGTGCTAACTGTGTTGTGCTAGCCTTTATTTATTTATTTTATTATTTAGATTTTATTCGACATTTTTTCTAATATATTATTTAATTTTTTTTTATATTTTGTTTGTTTATAATTTTTGATGTTGTTTTGAATATTTTTTTCTAGTTTTTTGACATTTTGTTTGAATACATTTTTTGACGTTTTGTTTTTTTTTTATATTTTTTAAAATCTTTTTTTATAAAAAATATAAAAAAGTTAGTTAAACGTGAATATTGTTAACATAGATTAGGTATAAAATTATTATTTAATATGATTAACAGATAGACTAACCGAAATTCGAAAACAGGTTTCAAGTTATATAATGGCTAATTGGAAACCTTATAACTCGAAAACAAACAAAAATAAAAAAAATTAAAAAAAAATGAACTCGAATATATTGAAATGTGTTTGAGTTATAGGAATTCTGATTAGCATTTGCTATTTGGAACAAAATATAAAAAAAATTCTAAAACTAAAAAAATTGAACTCGAAGTCATTGATACTTGTTTTGAATTTCGATTAGTCTATATAATAACCATATTAAAATAAATAATTTTATCCCTAATATGTGTTAATTATGTGTTAATCATATTCATATTTAACAAACTTTTTTATATTCTTTATACAAAAAATATTTATAAAAAACTTAAAAAATAAATAAAAACAAAAGATCAAAAAAAACATTAAAAAAATATATTTGAAAAAATCATAAAAGTAAAATAGAAAAATTATTCAGAAAAAAACGTAAAGAAAGTGTAAACTAACAAAATATAAAAAACATTAAAAAATATATTCAAATAAAATTTCAAAAAAAAAAATCATAAAAAATATAAATAAATAAAATAAAATGTAAGCGGCAAAATATTAACAAATTAAACAAATATATATATATATATATATATATATATATATATATATATATATATATATATATATATATATATACCATTTCGCAAAGTTCGGGGGAGGGGGGGGGGGGGGGGGGGGGGGGGGGGGGCACTTGAGTCAGCCGCTGACGCCCGACAACGTCCTGACCCTATCCAATTTTTGGGCCAATTCCCCCTTCGTACTACCAAAAAAATAAGAATCTTGCCGAATCTTTCAAAGTGTGGTGGAGTAATAAAGGTAGGTTGGCCGTGCATGGGTCTCCTCCTTTTGTGTGCGTCTTAATTGTCATTGAAAGGACAGGATAGTACAACCTCTGGCTCAAGGCCTTGAGGTTGAGCCCATTCATTCCATTATATATATATATATATATTATATATTATATATAATATATATATATATATAGATATATATATATATAATATATAGGAAAAGTGAATATATCTTTAAAGGTATATAAGCTTATGTACCAAAACCCACCATAGTATGTCGTTTTCTTTGTTATATTCATTATAATGTTCTTAAACTTCAACCCCTAACTTGATTTACTGTCAAGATTTTCAAATTTTCATTATTATCTTCCTCTTACATCACATATTCTCGCCGAACACCTACTGGGCTATATATATTATAGTTGAAAATGAAAATTATGTAAGAGAAAGATAACTGTAAGATTTATAAAAATCTTGAAAGTAAATCAAGTTATAAGTTGAATTATAAGAACATTGGATGATTACTATGTATATGTGATACAAAACGACGTAGTATGGGGAGTTTGGGTACCCATGCTTATATACCCTTAAGGGTATATTCAAATGTTTCCAACAACTATTGTGTAGATCTAAGAACCAATCAAAATTAAGCAAAAATAAAATCATTAATAAATCAAAAAAGGGTATAATAGTAATCTATGCATTTGCTTATATGGAAATTCCTAAGATATTTGACTAATTCTCCTTAAATCGTGTCGTTCTACATCTCACAAACCCTACTCCACCAACCGATCATGTTTGCAACGATTCTCCCCCTTCCTACTGTTTTCTCTTCTCTTTACTGTCCTCCTCCATATTACGACTACCTTCCACCATCACCACCACCAAACATCGAATCCTTCAATTGATTGTCGGCGAATCCTCTGAAATCGACATTTTTGAAAAGTCGTTTCCTTTCGCACTCATTTACTTTCCAATCGACGAGCCAACCTTACCATCGACGACAACAACCATTGATTGATGCCTTTTTCTAGTCCCATCTTTAACGCCTCATTAACTCCGTCGACATCCTACTTCTTGTTCAATCACCAATCACCGCCACCTACTCCTTCCCCTTCGTCGCCATCAATCACGACAGTAATAGTATCATGTAGGTTTTTTCCTACTTTTTTTACTGAAATTTTGTTTTTTATCCTTTTCCCATTATTTCATGAATCTTTCTCCTGCTTTCGGTGCAATTTTTGGTGTTGTGAAGGTGTCTGGTGTTTAATACAACTTGTTGAAGGTGTTTGACATTGTATTTCCAGGTAAATATATGACAACTGGATAATGCACAGAAGGTGTTCGATAGAATGCATAAAAGATGTTTCAAGCCAAATTCTTGGTAATTGACTAATTCCATATTTAAAACATAGTTTCTATTATTTTTACAATCAACATGCTTGTGAATGATTTGACCAGTTGTGCATGTGGTAAGGATGGTTTGCTAAATTTTACTATTTTCTTCTATTGTACAAAAATTTCAAGATTGTTAAATTGCAAGTTGTTGGTTTGTTAAGTTTCATCATCTAGAAATACGATTGCAAGTTTCAAGTAACATGCTTTTAATTCTTTATAGTGGCAATTAAAGCTATGGACTTGATTAAGAATTGTTTAGATCTTGTTTAGATATGAAATGGTGTTCTTTTGGTCCCATAAGCTTGGTATTATGAGTATGGATTACTCTAACCCATATAAGCTAGCCTTTTAGACGTTTTGGAGCATCTAAAAGCATAAAAATGTAATATTGGTTGTTAGATTCCTTCCATGCATGAGTGACAAGGTCTTAATGGGTTAAGTAGTTAGGGTTATTGTGTTTGGGCACTTAATGGCCATGCAAGACCATAAAGTTGGAAACTTTATGATTAAGGAAGTTATTTTAGGGTTTGATCTGGATTGTGGACAAAAGAGATTAAGGGTTAATCTCGTAATAAAAAGGAATGAAGCCCCTCGTGAATGTTGGGTGTTGCCCAGGAACACTTAACGTGTAACGCCCGCAGCTTCGGGCTAGTCAATTTAGAGACAATGAGCATCAAAAAATGAGTTTTTGATGGAAGATTATATAGAAGAAATAATCTTAACCAACTGGTAGTATATGTTACAAGGGTCCGTACATATAAAGAATGCCGAAATCCGAGTTATAACGAAGAAGTTATGGCTCGTCGAAGTTTCGCGACAAAACCGGCACACCACTGTGAGACGTAAATAGTGAATTTATGGTAGATGAATTTTTAGCCTTAGCAATCTAAACCAAAGTTGTAGTATACGTTAAACCGAGAGCGTGCATAAAAAGAACACCCAAATCTGACTTCGTATGGGGAAGTTATGATTTTTCTAAGATTTGGCATAGCATTGCACAACCCGAAACTCGAATTTTAGATCGAGCGGTTTTTGGACAATGCGACCGGAATGAGAGTTGAATATATCATTAATAGGAACTCAACAATAAAAAAGATAGACGAAAACGGAGTCCGTATGTAGAAGTTATGAATTTTACGCGGTCATTTAACAGTATAATCTCATCCTACTGTTAAATTTAAGATCGGTCGAGAATTAGCCGAAGGAGTCAAAATGAAAGTTGTAGATCTTGTTTTTACCTACGCGTGTATATAAAGAACGTTGAAAACGGAGCTCGTATGCGAAAGTCACGGGGTTTAGAAGTCAGCAGGGTGGTGCTGCAAAAGGGGTGACGTGGCACAATATAGGCCACCCACGTTTTGCCACCAGAATGGCGACATGTGGCATGGACTCGACAAGTTGGAGGTTGACTCGGCGAGTCAGGCTGTCTGGCAGCCTATAAATAGAGGTTTCGGGTTATGCCTATTCTTCACACCATTCCAACCTCTTCTCTCTCTCTAGACTCTCTCTAGCCCCAACCCTCCCCCCCACCCACCAAAGCCTAGGGTAACTCCCTAGCATGAGGCGGAAGTATTTTTATATAAATTACGTGTTATGTGTGCATATTATCTGAATACTTGTTGTCAATGCTGGATGAATGATTTTATAGATGTTTTAAACGATTTAAACTGTATATATATGTATTTTATATCTACAAAATACGTTGGGTAAAACATGGGTAGATTGGAGATGAGATAAATGATGAGCGATGAAAGATGAGATGAATGATGAGCGATGATATGTGTGTGGCAAAATATGGTGAGAAGCGATGAGCCAAAACGATGAGCCAAACGATGACCCAAACGATGACCCAAGTGATGGCCCCGTCATATAGCAGAGTATGGATGACAACCATAGACTATTCTAGACAGTCCAGTGGAACACTAGCAGGC